CGTGAAAAACATATGATCGAACGATCTGATTATATTACACAACAAAAATTGAAATCTTTTTTCGACGAAGCTCCGGCGTCCCAGGACGATACAACGAACAATGATGGCGTCGGAGCAAATGAAAATTAAATATTCAAAACCATACGTATATGTTTCTTTGTTTATATTTTGCCAACACTATTATAACATTATCGAGTGAACAATTGCTTATTTCCATGCCAACACTAAACGCGGAAATTGTGCGCTTAAACGCGCTTTTCTTGTGAAACGCGTCTGGACTCAGTCAAAAGACAAACGAAACGCGATTGTGCAACTCGTTTATAGGAAAAAATATATAAAAGATTCGTTTTCTATTCACTAGAAAATATATATCACATTTTTTTTATAAAATTAATTTAGTTTGAAGTATATAGCGTTCTCAAAAAGTTTAGACTTCTTTTTCTCAAGAAAGACAGAATGTATATATGTTTTAATCCTAAAACATTGGTACTCTAAAATTGAAAATAATGAAATTTTAGAAATAATATAATCAAATTTTTTTCCCAAAACGAATAATTTCCATAATTAGATATTTTTAAAATTATGCAGTTGGATTTATCTAATGCAAACTCTTTTTCTTGGAGAAATAAGTATATTTATATATACAGCAATAATTAATAAATATACACAGCACCTCATTGACACATGTATCTGTGAATAAGTTTATAATAGACGATGCATATATAGATTCTGTTTCGTTCAACAACTAATGTGATCACATGTGGTTCAATGGTGTATGTACACTTGCTTTCTACTCGCTAGTTTACTTGTTCTAATCTCATTTCTATCATTTTAGAAACATTAAAATTTAAACTCTCCGTTGGCCTGTAGTTAGGTAAAGACGATCGCTAGGTAATGTTGATAGCGAATCAGATCAAACCTGAGACGGATTGTAATACATTTTATAAATTTGAAATATCGATTCGACCGCGTTTTGATTCAGAAAATATTTACATGGGTTATTAATAAAGATTTGAAATTTATTCCACCCTGTCAAAGGCGTTTCTTTTATTGACAACTTATGAAAAAAATTATTGAACGCGCATACAATCACATCTATAATGAAAATGTTAAAAATCTTACCGATTACATGTTTTCAACGCGTGATACACGTGCTATTGAATATTTTGCTGCAATAAAAGATCTACTTCAACAACTATATACGAAACCAATACCAAAAAAAACTTGAAAGACATGCTCGATATATGTATAAGATGATAATATCAGTGCAACGACAATTATGCAAAGCTAATATTGCTGTCTGACAAACTGATAGAAGCAAATTATTTTTCTTTATTGATCCACATGAATACGGAGAAAAAATTAAAAGTTATATGACAAAAACAAACGCATATCAAGAAATCACCAGTGGCATTTATCCATTACCAGATGATTTACAATCTGTGCTAACTTTACTTGATGATCTATTAAAGCATAAAAAAATAATGAAACTACCAACGACAAAACGACTGCAAATCGTATTTTTGATCTAACATGTAGAATATATGATCAAAAGAAGTTTTCTTGCATATGTATAAATAGCACAAGTTTAGATGTTTATAATACATATAAAAACTTAATATGAAGATACAAGCTATTGATATACTTTCTGAGTCTTTTAATACATGCTTGAATAACATACAATGAGCGCTGTAAAAAGCATGTACATTTTTATTTTTTTACACTTATACAAATCACAAAAGTATTGAAAAAAGTTTCTTTCATATCAAACTTTGTAGAGCTCTTTTTGTTGATCATTTTGGTTAAAAAAACTTTAAATTTCATTGAGTAATGATGATGTTATAGTTAAAATACTAAACACTATAAACTAGCTTAAATTGCAATTTTTTCTGACAAATAATGATAAAACATCGATTCGCATATCTCAAGATAGTTACATTTTGGAGAATTATGACATAGTAGGTTTATAGAGGAGAGTATGAGATAGCAGATTCTGTAGAGCAAACTTTTCTCTACAAAATCTGGTAGGTCATAATTCTCCAAAATGTAACTATCTTGAGATATGCGAATCGATGTTTTATGATTATTTGTCAGAAAAAATTGCAATTTAAGCTAGTTTACAGTGTTTAGTATTTTGACTATAACATCATCATTACTCAATGAAATTTAAAGTTTTTTTAACCAAAATGATCAACAAAAAAAGCTCTACAAAGTTTGATATGAAAGAAAATTTTTCAATACTTTTGTGATTTGTATAAGTGTAAAAAAATAAAAATGTACATGCTTTTTACAGCGCTCATTGTATGTTATTCAAGCATGTATTAAAAGACTCAGAAAGTATATCAATCGCTTGTATCTTCATATTAAGTTTTTATATGTATTATAAACATCTAAACTTGTGCTATTTATACATATGCAAGAAAACTTCTTTTGATCATATATTCCACATGTCAGATCAAAAATACGATTTGCAGTCGTTTTGTCGTTGGTAGAAAGATCAATATAAACAAATATATCCAAATCTAAATACATTAGAATTTGCTCATATTTATTTCAATCTTAAAGTACATAAGGTAAAACCGTTAGTTTGTTATCTAAATATTTTTTCTATCATATGTTTCTTGTAGCCTGAACTATCAGTTTGACCTATTCTTGATTCAATTAATGCACCTGCTAGATAAATATCCAGTTTTTTGATCAACTTCTTACTCCAATTTATAATCATGTGACACAAGATATTACATTCATCAATAGTATAGATCTCACCTGAACAACATTATCTATAAATTTTGATGTTGCTGATATATACACAATGATACTACATGATGGCACTATTGCTGCTTTAACGCGATTCTGTAAAAACTATTCAATAAATGGAAAAATTGGAAATCTCAAAATATAAACTATTATTCAATTAGCATGTGTTGTTTTAGATGCCAATTCATTTGCTTATAAAGATAAGTATTATCAACAAATTAAAGCGTATGATGCCTTATTTGAATTTCCGGTAGCTTATCTCATTTTCTGTTGCTGGATGTAGAGGAGGTATAGGAGATATTGATTAATTGGTACAGATGATCATTCGATAGTATTTGAATTTAAACATCTATTCATTAAATATATTGGTGTCACTTGCCAACCCTTGCTCGAAAAACTCAATTCCTATACCTTCTATATCTTGATAAACAGGAAGCTATAGGGATGTCCGGAAATTCAAATAAGGCATCTAATCAATTAAAGATGGTGCCATGGGTTCACCATTTACTATGGTTTTAGCAAATATTTATATGTTAGAATGGGAGCAAAAATTAATTCAACACCAAAATAGACATCATGAAATTTATGGACGGTTAATTTTGCATTTATTAGTTACTTTTCTTTACTCTAATAATCATAAATATTTATAGATATATTGACGATGTATTTATGACAACTAATTTATCCAAAGAAAATATTCTGAAAGAACTTGATGAAACCATTAACACAGATTCAAATGTTAAAATTACTACTACTATCAGTCAATCATTAGAATATCTTGATGTTACTGTTGAAAATAATAATGGATATTTAAAAATATCTATTTATCATAAATCAGCTTCAGAACCCCATATTCTACCTTATGAATCTGATCGTGCAAGACACATTCATGCGAATATAATTTATACTGCACTAGTGCAAGCTGCACGTAGCTGTTCCAATATGGAAGATTTTGATATGGAACGATTAAGTACAGAAATGATATTACTAGTTAAAGGTTATCCACCAAAATTTATACAACATTATATAAAAAACATTCTTTGTTAAATATGATTCTATGAGTGTATGGACTGAATTAAACAGTGAAGTCTATCAACAACTACGTAATATGTTACTTTACAGACCAATAAAAAGAGAAAACAAAACACAAATCTCGAGTCTTGGTCAATTAATTGGAAAAACGAAAAACTATGAACATAAAGATCAAATTTATCTTCATTACACGTTTGAAAATGGACCATTATTAAATTTCAAAAAAGAATGTCATCAAATATGGCAAAAGTTCTGTTTATCCAGGATCACATTTCAAAAATACACGACCAATTCTTGGTACAATATTAAGTCGTACTTTACAAAGTCTTTTGATACGCAGATAGCCTTCACAAGATATGTTTATCAGGGTGCAACCAACTACAGAAGCAGCTCGTACAACAAATAAAACAGTTTAATCATTAACATTTGTTTCTTTCAGGCATCCCAATTGTGAAGTGTTTCCTTCCTGTTTGTTCGCTTCTTTCTCTGTTTTGTTCTCAATAGAGGATATTCAGTTATTATCATTAGATCTTGTCACTAGATAAACCTTGTTTTTTTCTTCCTGTTTATTTTTCTCTTAAATACGTGCAATATGTCGAATACGACCATTTATTACATTTTTCATTATTTAAGCTCAGATATTTGACCATTGACCATTGAACATGTGAACCGGTACTATCTTCTAGTTCATGTTTCGTTATTTTTCCTTTTTCTTTCTTTCTTTTATTTGATATATGTTCACTTTGAAACCAGACGTATTTCATACTTTCATATATTCTAGATATATACTAATCAAGACAATATCTACAAACAATAATCGCAAACATGTAATAGCAATATATAAGCAATCACTGTAAGCAAATCATAGTTATGACAAAACTGATGAGTGGCGTTTAAGCAAGACTGAAACGCGTCGTAAGGATGCTTCGCAATCTAAAAACTCAATTTTATACACAACCACAATGAACCAGATTTTACAAAAGAATACCGATGCCCCATACAAACAATTTTTCCCTTATTCGCCAAGCCGCACAGGAACACGTTAACAGTCAAATATAATTTCCTTTATGTCTCGAAAAAAACTATAAAAGCTAATTGTAGATTATCTCTCGCTTCTACGATCTTAATACCAGTTGAAAAGAAACTCTTGTCTAATCATATGATGAGAGCATTAAGGAAGAGCGAAACACATCATCGTGTGCTTGGCATATCTATGCTATACATTTGACGAGATTATTTGCCAAATTTAGACGTATTGTCATAGCTTCACTTGATATTTCTTATCATGATGTAAAATATTTTAATTCTCAACGTATACTTACACACAAAAACAGTTAGAAGAAATATTAGTAACGTTAAGTAGAAGTTAGGAATAATGAATCAATGAAAAAAAAAAAGCTTAAACCAGCAATGGTAATATTAACAGGTCTGTAAAAAAATGTTTAAATTGTCAGAACCTTCATTGGCAACGACGAAATCCAATTTTCCATCATTATCTAAATCATGAACGGAAATTGAGAATGGAAGAGATCCAGAACTGATTGAAAAAAACTTGACACTTGTGAAGGAGCCATTCCCATAACCAAGCAACACACCTATGTTGTTTGTGCCATAATTAGCGACAATAATGTCTAGCAAGGTGTCGTTGTTGAAATCTTCAACAGCAACCGCGTTTGGTTGAGAACTTAAACCGGTTGTAAACGTTTTCTGGCTTAGAAACGAACCATTGCCCCGTCCAAGAAATACACCAACATTGTCACTGCCAAGATTCGCGACGACAATATCAAGTATGGTATCGTTGTTGAAATCACCAACAGCTACCGAGAATGGGTTAGAACCAGTTGAGTATGTCGTTTGATTAGTGAAAGAACCATTTCCATATCTCAGAAAAATACCAACGTTGTTAGTGCCTGAATTCGCCACTGCTATATCCATTTGACTGTCATTGTTAAAATCTCCAATGGCGAATGACTTAGGGCGAGATCCATTTCCAGTTATGAGTCTCATTTGCCTGAAGAAACCTTCATTGTAGTATCCCAGATATACACTGACACTTTTTCCATTACCATTGGAGACGACGATATCTAGTCGGGTGTCATTATTAAAATCACCAACAGCTACAAATGAAGGAGTAAGGTCAGTTGAATAGGTCATTTGATTTGCAAAAACACCATTGCCATATCCAAGAAGGATACTCATAGTGTTGTCATTCCAATTAGTGACGATGATATCCAATCGGATGTCGTTGTTAAAATCACCAACAGCTACAGAGCTTGGTCCAAAGCCAGCTGAATATATCGTTTGATTCGTGAAAGAACCATTGCCATATCCGATAAGTACACTTATAGTATTGTCAGCATAATTAGCGACGACGAGATCCAGATGGGTGTCGTTGTTAAAATTACCTATAGTTACAGACCCTGGCGCGGCACCAGTTGAATATGTCATTTGATTTGCAAAAGATCCATCGCCATATCCGAGAAGGATGCTTATAGTATTGTCACCAAAATTAGCGACGACGATATCCAATCGAGTATCGTTATTAAAATCACCAACAGTTACAGGCCATGGTTTGTACTCTGTTGAATATTTCGTTTGACTTGTAAACGAGCCATCGCCATAGCCAAGAAGGATGCTTACAGTGTTGTCACCCCAATTAGCGACGACGATATCCAGATTGGTGTCGTTGTTAAAATCGCCAAGAGCTACAGACTTTGGGTTAGAGCCAGTTGAATATGTCGTTTGATTTGCAAAAGAGCCATTGCCATATCCGAGAAGAACACTTACAGTATTGCCACCAAAATTAGTAACGACGATATCCAGATGGGTGTCGTGATTAAAATCCCCTACAGCTAGAGACCATGGGTTAGAGCCAGTTGAATATGTCGTTTGATTTGCAAAAGAGCCATTACCGAATCCAAGAAGGATACTTACAGTGTTGTGGTACCGATTGGCGGTGACGATGTCCAAATGTGTGTCGTTATTAAAATCGTCAAGAGTTACAGATCGGGGCCAGTAGCCAGTGGAATATTTAATGTCATGACTGAAAGATCCGATGTCGTATGTAACCAGTACATCTACATAATCGATGCCATCATATGTAACGAAAATTTCTGAACGCCCATCTTTGTTGAAACTACCAGCACCAATCATCAGTGGTGCAAAATCAAAATTTATACCGTAACGTCCTTGATTTTCAAATGTTCCATTCCCACTTCCCATAAATGTAACAAGATTTTTAGTACCATAATTGGCCACAGCTATATCCGCTTGACCGTCTTTATTGAAATCATGGATAGCCATTGAGTAAGGATGAGAATTTAAGCCCGTTGAAAACATCATTTGGTTTTCAAAAGTGCCAGTCCCATGTCCAAGAAGAATACCTATGTTATTAGTACCATAATTGACAACAGCGATATCTAGTAGGCTATCGTTATTGAAATCAAAAACAGCAAAGCTTTGTAAACGGGAACCATTGGCAGATGCAAATGTGATTTTGTTTTTCAGAGCTCCCCTGTCATACCGAAGTAGTACACCTACAGTGTCGTCATTAAAATTAGCGACGACAATATCCGGTCGGTTGTCGTTATTAAAATCACCAATAGCTACAGACTGTGGCGCAGAGCCAGTTGAATAGGTTTTTTGATTTGCAAAAGAGCCATTGCCATATCCAAGAAGGATACTTACATTGTTGCCACCAAAATTAGCAACGACGATATCCAGTTGGGTGTCATTGTTAAAATCACCAACAGCTACCGATAGTAAGTAAGAGCCAATTGTATATTTCGTTTGATTTGTAAAAGATCCATTGCCATATCCAAGAAGGACACTTACAGTGTTGTCATCCCGATTAGCAACGACGATATCCAGTTGGTTGTCATTACTAAAATCACCAACAGCTACAGCAATTGGGTAAGAGCCAGTTGAATATGTCGTTTGATTTGCAAAAGAGCCATTGCTATATCTTAGAAGTACACTTACAGTGTTGCCATCAAAATTAGCAACGACGATATCCAGTTGGGTATCGTTGTTAAAATCACCAACAGCTACAGACAATGGTTGAGAGCCAGTTGAATATGTTGTTTGATTTGCAAAAGAGCCATCACCGTATCCGAGAAGTACACTGACAGTATTGTCACCAGCATTAGCGACGACGATATCCAGATGGGTGTCGCTGTTAAAATTACCAACAGCTACAGAGGCTGACTGCGGGCCAGTTGAAAATGTCGTCTGATTTGCAAAGAAGCCATCGCCATATCCGAGAAGGATGCTTACAGTATTGCCATGTAAATTGGCGACGACGATATCCAGATGGTTGTCGTTGTTAAAGTCACCAACAGCTACAGAGAATGGCCAAGAGTCAGTTGAATATGTCATCTGATCAGCAAAAGAACCATTTCCATATCCCAAAAGTACACCTACAGTGTTGCTCTTCCTATTAGCAACTACAATATCTAATCGGGTGTCATGGTTAAAATCACCAACAGCTACTGAGTACGGTAAAGTGTCAGTTGCATATGTCATTTGAATAGGAAAAAATTCATCATAACCAAGCATGATGCCTATGGTGCTCGTATCATTGTTGATGAAGGCAATGTCTGAACGATTGTCGCTGTTTAAATCACCTATAGCAATGGAGATTGATGAAGAAGATTCAGTTGAATACAGTTTTGGGGTTGCAAAAGTACCGTTGCCATGCCCGACAAGTAGAGCTATATTGTCAGTGCCATTATTGGTAACGACTAAATCCATTCGATTGTCGTTGTTGAAGTCACCAATGCCAATAGAATATGGAGAAGCCGTGCCGAGCGAATATGTCGTTTGTCTTATAAAAGTTCCGTTGTCATTCCCAAGAAGTATACCCACACTGTTATTTCTATGATTGGTGACGGCAATATCTAGCATGGCGTCTTCGTTTAAGTAACCAACGACAATCGAGTAAGGATGGGAATTAAGACCAGTTGAGAACGTGCTTTGCCTTGCGAAAGTGCCGTTACTAACCCCAAGCATGATACCAACATTATTGGTACCATAATTGGCGATAGCAAGATCCATCTGTTTGTCGTTGTTGAAATCGCCACTAACAACCGCTAACGGAAAAGAATCGTAGCCTGTAGAGTACGTGCTTGAGTTTGAAAAGCTTGCATTCCCATAGCCATAAAATATGCTGACACTGTGTGTGCCGTAGTTAGCAGTGACAATATCGAATGCTGCGTCATCGTTGAGATCTGCTACATGAATCCAAACTGGACGAGATGATTCAGTTGATAAAGCTGTTTGGTTCACAAAAGTCTCATTTTGAAATCCAAGAAGTACACCGACGGTATTTGTGCCGAAATTTGCGACAGCGACATCCAGTCGATGATCGTTGTCAAAATCACCAACAGCAATCATGTACGGAGCAGAGCCATAACCAGTTGAAAACATGACTGGGCTTGCCACAGTGCCATTGCCATGTCCAAAATATATAGCTATATTGTCAGCAGCATAATTGGCAACAACAATATCTAGCGAGGTATCGTTGTTGAAGTCTCCCATGGCAACAGCTCGTGGACCATACTTATAGTTAATTGGATTTTGGGCCGTTGCTTTAAAATTAAGTTCACATTTTGGAACTAAGTAACGCAAGAACAAAAAAATAAAGATTGATCAGTTACTATGATTGAACTATGTCTAATGGATCGTATCAGATTTCGATAATTCTGATCATTTTCTATTGACAATAGTCAGATCATTACAAACAAATCTGAGTGAGAACCAGCACTTTTCAATAGAACCTCGTTGAGTCTCGCGAAACTCCTAGTGACTGAGGAAGAACAGACAGTAGCTAATACGATGAGAAAACGAATTATGAACTGCACCTAACTAAGAATTCAAAACCACATTCGTTTCTCTCTTACTGATTCTTGAAGGACATGCCATTAGCTACAATTAGGAAATAATGATGATATTTTCGGACCGTTTCGAAATCAAATGAATGTCAGTATGTTCGTGTTGCAAAACTCTTGTCATCGCGTCATGAATATCCCGCATTGTTAATTAATAACAACAATTAGAATATAATAAGTTTTTTTACGACTGTTCGAGATTACACAATGAATAGAACAATGACTATTTATTGAAAGTTATCACTTGACGAAGTGAATCATGATTCATTTCCAATGTTGAACATCGTGATCATAATCCACTGGTACAATATGACCTGTATAGTTATATGATGGTTTCTGGTAGTTGATAAGTGCTTTTTATTTGATTAGAGGGCTGAGACAGCGAATGTCCATTACTGAAAAGTTATCTTATTGGGTAACGGAAAATGTTTCAGTTTAATTTTTCGCTGCAAAGAAGCTTATTTTAGTAAAATAACCGTGTGTTTGAAGTTTGATCAAATGACTTTTGGGTTGAGGAATGTGAATTCATTCATAGTTTTTCAAAGTTTGTAGTATCGTTATTTTTGAGATATAGTCCTTCCAGAGGAAAAAGCTTAGAACTACACATTTCGAAAAGTCACGACAAAGAAGAAGGACGCATAAAAAGACAGATCATCTATTTGAAAAACGATTCAATGACTTCTGAGGCAGATTGCAACCCTATATTTTTACTGCAGTCAGATGGTTGTACACTAACAATAGCTTTGGGAAAACATTTGTTCGTCTGCCTATAAATAATCTCATTTGAAAGACCAGTAAATGATCTAAAAATTCTCAGACGAAAAGCTGAAGTTATGTCGAGATAATAGTGTTTCTATCGATATTTCGAGTATATCAGGAAGGTTCTGACTTCTTAATTGCTTTGGAGAC